CCGCCATTATTTTGTAAATCCATTAACCGAAAACTGCAAATAATAATAATAACAATAATATCGAACGATTAATCACACATTTCGGTATTCCTTTTCAAAGTTGACGCGTATCCGTGAATTATAACCGCCATACCCCATATTATACAATGTTGTTCACAACGGCAATGATATTTTAAATTAAAATGATACTCGTACCGCAGAAAATATACTATAATACCAATAAATAATTATTTATTGCACTATAAATGCTATGTATAAAATTACCAATTATAATTAATATTATGCACGTGCAAATTTATTTAATGTTTTTAATTGACTTGTTAAAATATTCTTAGAGCGCCGCCGCGGGTTAACCAAAACCCGTAAACACAATATATTATCATTATTTTTTATTTAACAGCGTGTTGAAAGCCAGTTGAAGGTAAACGATCATAACGTACTTATAAGATTTAGGAACAAACAATAAGAAATTGTTGTGATGTTGACGCGAGCTATCAATTACCCAATTTATTTACTTATTTATTACCTGTGAGTGTCCTAGTATATTATGTATCTTACAAATAAATGACGACATTTTAACAATTAAAAAAACGCGATCGATCGAGTATCGTGGTTAGGAATATTATTTTTTTTTTACAATCCGAATAGTGGCAACTATGTTTAGTACTTAAACGTAAGACTGAACCATTCTAACACGTTAAAGGTCAATTTTTTTTAAAATTAACTAAGTTAAGTTAAAAGTTAATTTAAAAATGTGATTAACTATTAAATTAAGTAAATTCAAATTTTTTTTTTATGAAGACGTTTAAAACTTAGAGTTTATGAATTTTTAAAATTAAGGTGATCACTGTTATTCACTCCACCCTAACCCCCGCCCAAAAAAAAAAAAATTAAATCTGAAAAATACAAAGGATATAAATATAATGCGTTAAAACATAGACTAATTTCGAATTATTAGTATAAATCAAAATTAACTTGTTATTTATTAATTTAATGTGAACAATATAGTTAAATGTTAAAGCCTCACGGTACGTAATAAGGTAATCCTATTCTAAGACATAGTACAGCACACGTGAAACATATTATTTGAATTTTGATACTCCTCGGTATTATATTATAACGTATCAAGGTCATAGCTGGAAAACAAATGTCGGTGGGGGAAGGCTAATTTTTGTACCGAATTTTTTTTTACACGTTGAAAAAATGTCGGATGTGGGATATGGGATCCGAACCCATAAAACATTCCCCTTTAAGGTACACAACCTTGAAGTGTACCAACGGTGAAAGTTAAACAAAATAATATTAACACATATTATGCGTGAGTAAATTTGATCATAAAAAATTAAATGCTACTAAAATTGATTGAAAATAATAGTAAATAAAAAAACAGTGACTATATTTATTTTAACGTAATTGAAATTTTAAAACAGGGGACGTGTCTAAATTAGTGGATAGGGAACTAACTTAACTCGAAAGGGGAGTAGGGAGTAGGGGAGTTTGATTTAATATCATACTTAATACGTTTTATACTTTTGATTAAATCTTTAAACAAAAGATAAAATAGCAATATTAATCACATTTTATTTTTTTAATTTTAGATTATGATTTCCGAGTTTAGTTAGTTTGGCTATAAGGAAGAATGGTGTGGAAGATTTAGAGCGTGTTAATCAACCGACAGAGTGTTTTCTTTGCTTCGTTCTACAGACATTCTAAACCAATAAAAGTCGTTCAAAAACAAAACCGATTCAATAGAACAATATTATACAATGGATATTACCATGAAAACATTGCCAATTTTATTTCGTTCTCTTTGTGGAATAAAAAAAAAAATAGATACGAGTAAAAATTATTAAGTACATAGGTATTGTATGTATAGTATATACAATATGTAATTCGGCTTTGGCAACTATTGAAATCTGCCGACACGTATCCGATTTATTAGTCCACGTACAGGTTATGTCATTAACGTCGATAATAAAGTATAACCATATTTGGTAACAGGAATATTAATCGGTCGAACAAACGATTGCGGTCTGTTCAATAACAATGAAATTGATACCGAATCGTGAGGTTTTGATCGGTTTCGTGTGTGCGTAAGAAATATATCGCAAAATTATATTTTGAATCGTATCTATGTTGTGTATACTATATAGTTCACAACCTATCACTTATTTTTTCGAGATTGTACCGACAGCAGTGTGGGATCTGTTTTCACAATACTTCTTCACTGGTGCCATCGATAAATTGTTTAATCACAATTCACAACTAAACTGTACAATCCTGTTTTACCTTTCGCGGGACATGCTCACATATAAGCTCATAGTAAACAAACTACACAAGACGAATAACAAAAAGTTATCCAATGAAAGTTTAATTTAACTACCGAAGTCAACCGGATCCAAAACTTTACGACCCGCCGGTCTAGAGGCAAGTTTTGCCCTTCCTATTTATCGTACTACCTATCAGTTATTATTTTGTCCAGAGCGAAACGGAGGAAAAATATCCGCCTTTTGCGCCTTGTGAGTTTTTTTTTTTAGAACAATAAATTTATCGATGTAACAAATATGCATATGTTGTTTTATGCTTTTGACCACTTTTTAATTTTGTCTCTTGCTAATACAAATCATCGATAACTTCCACGCCGTAATTAAAAAAAGACGCGGAGATTTTCCGCCAGATGGTAATGTCTAATCGAAACATTTTTCTAGATTAATGGCAGTTTTTGTGAAAAATAAAATTGCTTAAAATTGACGACATGTTGTCCAATGAGGTCGTAGTAAAATCATAAATACGGCACTGATAGAAAATTCGAGAAGTGCGCGATTTGGTAAACATGAAACGTATAGCGAGTAACCTACGATCACGAATTGTCGGATTTTTTTTAGATTTCATAAGTTCAGCATAATAAAGTCATTATAATTTAATCGTACGCAAGAGCAGAATTCTAGAATGTGCTATTTACTGCAGTGTTGATCGTGTACGTTATAAATGGTCGTCAATAACGATAAAATGCACGTACTCGATGATATCGCTTTGGAATAACAACGAGGACAACGAAGAAATAAATTAAAGTTTTAGAAATTGACGATTGAATGATTTAAAAGAATTTTGGTGAGATTTTTTTATTGTTATCATTTTTTTTTTTTTTTTTTTTTTAAAGCCATGAGAAAATGTAAGTAGTTCATCTGATAACGCAAGTGTTAAACGATTTTGATTGAATCCATTAAGACGTCCGGTGCCAATATCGTTTTGCGCACAAAAATACACTCTATGGACATAGCAATAATGTTCAGTAGAATCGACCAAACTTAATTATTATTATTTATTTATTTTTCATTAACAGAGTGAAATATTCCACAGACCACATTGAACTCCGGTTTTCATTATTTTATTTTTAACATTTATAATAAGTTTTTAAAAAAAGTAAATTTGAAATTTTTTTCCTCCATTATTTGAAATCGAAAATTAAAAAAGATTGGAGTTCAATGCTGCCAATTGAATGTTGTTGTTTATCAGTAAAAAAAAAATATGTTTATGAAAATACTGAATTGACATCATGTCATCATTATTTCCGTGAAGTAATTTTCGTCAGTAAAAACGGCCCCACCTCTTCCCTCTAAATGGTTATCGAGTGGTAGATCGGTTGGAAAAACCTATATTTGAGGTAGTAATTGAAATAATAAAATTTAAAATTTTTGAAAATTTGAAAGACTGGCACCGGGCTTAATGTCAAAAAATGAAATGACGATACATTTTGTGATACAAGGCGTGTGGTGCCTTTAATATTATAATGATGGTACAATCGTTTCGTGGATACCGAAAAATAGAAAATGTTTAAAATATAATAATATTTGAACTGTTTTTTGATTTTGACTTTCGGTGCGTATTGCACATCCACCGATTTTACTTGTTCTGAAAATTTCGCGCTACAAAAACAACGATCGGTACCGATGTTAACGAAAGTCAATAGTGGAGCGTGATTAAATATTTACTGATTTCAAACGATATTCTTTTATCCGTTCTTTCGTCCTTCGATAAGAGTAATACATTTCGGAATAATAATGTAAAGTTTAACCTAATCACTTCATAAAATACCATAGGAAAGAAAAACTCAAATAAATCATTAGTTTTATCGATTTTAAAATTAGATTACCGTTAACGCAGACATTTCCAAGTTGTGGAAGTGTGTGACGACCCTCTCATACCCCCCGCCCCTATATCTCACCGACCCTGGTCGCGATTAAATACGACACTGAAATTTTCCTGCGGTATTATCGGTAAGCACCAAATGATTACACGGTGTTTCCGAACGTAACCGGTTACTATCGACAAACACAGGATCGATAACGACCGAATAGATTCCGCAGTTGTGCAACTTAGAACAATAATAATATGTTAGGTATCTAATCTGAATGATAATGAAAATGAAATTACCGGGGTCAAGGTAACGGCGATGGATGTAACCGAGATGAACACATAGGCATCCGGGTTAATTTATACGCAGGAAAAAGGCCGGAGGACGTTTTAACAATATATAATACTGCAGTGCGGTACTAAAACGTGATCGTAAAACGTAAGGCGGTATACCTACGGGAAAAATAATAAAACTAAACACAATGACAACTATTTTATAAGCACTATACGCAGTCGTCGACACACCGACCGTATACCGATTTCAGTTGTTTGAGGTTAGAATGGAAGTTGGTTAAGGTTGGCGGTTGGAGCGAGTATTTTAGTCCGAGAGATTTAGCGGGAAAAACTGCTTGAAGAAAAAGTGATTTATTTTTTCCACCCACTTTTGTCGATCGGTTATACTATTTTCTTACTATTTTCTTATTTCTTAGGAAATATCTCCAGGAATAATTTGCAGATTGTACTTATCACTATATTCAGTACGCGAGGGGGCGGGAGATTAGAGGCTGTGTTCACCTATTGGCTTAAAAATACAACAACCATGAGTGTACAATTTAAGAAATCTTATATTGAAATTGTATATTTTAGTCAACTTACAAGATAGGAAGGCGAAAAAAAAAGCGGTGGTGTAGACATTTCGACAAAACAGGTGTACTCGGAAAGGGAAATTCCGGATATCTAAATAATAAATTTAAAAAAAGTAAAATAAAAATATTATAGTCATGGGTATTTTTATTATAACAAAAAACAACCCTATGATATTAAAAAAATATTATTATGTGTAGTGCCGATGAGGTCGTTACAAATATCAGATGTTTAGGAGACGGTTGCGTTCATAATATTTAAACAATACAAATATTAACTTAAACAAAAACCATAATACTATTGAAAACCGCGGTTGGTAAAATTCGGTCGGTATTGGTATGTTATCATTAAAGCCCGAACCAGATCCGGAGATGACTGCACTGCAACACGATAGCATTTACACCGCGGCGATGGGGTGCAGTGCGGCGCGTCGTGAAACTTGATCGGACGGGCGGGAGCGAATATGCACCGGTACGGACCGGACTGTATACGTATTATAAAATAGGTATCATCACGGATCGTCACTGCCTGCGACCGGCGCCGTGTTCTCGGCCCTGAGATTGGCGCTGGACATCAGGTTGGATTGGATCCAGTGGTGGATCTCGATGGGACACTCGGGCCTCTGGATCGCCCCGTCGACCGTCTTGGTGCCGACCAGAGTGCGCATCAGCTCGTTGGCGCTATAGTTGACCACCCGCTGTCGGTTGTACACGATGGCCCGGACGAAACCGTCGGCCTTGGATACGAACCGGTGTTCGAAGAATAGCGACACGTCGTCCCAGTACACGATCCGGGTACGGATCTCGTATCGGCTGAACGTGCGCACGAACTTGCGGTACCGGACGTTGCTGGCTATGGTGAATATGAGGGCGTCGTGCCGGCGGAGCTCGTGCCACATGCCTGTGCGCAGCACGAACTCAATCCGGGCCAAATCGATTTCGCGCAGGTATCGAGCGTTGTTCATGTGCGACAGGTACACGTCCAGATCGGTGGTCAGGCACAGGGACGAGTACACGGCCGTCTCGGTGGCGCGGATTTTTTTCTTGAAACACGTCCCGGACACGTAACTGAACAGCGAACGGAAAAAGTACGGCAGGTCTATCAGCGACATGGCCAAAACGATCACCGACAGCGTGACACACGCCACCGTTAGCGCGGTGATCGTCAGCGTCCCGGCGCCGCCGCCGCATCCGACGTGCGCGTCGCTCGCGGCACCGGCGCCGGCGGCCGGCGTCATCGACGTCGTGGTGGACAGCGTGGCGAACATCGCGCGCGTTTACATCGACACCGGTAACGCAGAATATCGCGTACGTTGATAAAAATACGGTATACTGTTGAAAATGTACGGGCTTCACGTCTGCTGGCGCCAAACGTTCACGACTATCTACGTACGATACGGACACGAGTGTGCCGCGGGGCGATCAGCTCATAATTTGAGGTGATCACGTTTTCGCCGCCCCACCAATCGGATGTAATTGACGACGAGGACTACGACGCGCCGAAATCGCGGCGTATTATTGAAATATTTATAATAATAACTACGTGTTCGTAACGACCATAATAACGCCACCGACGGAATAATAATAATAACAATGTCGTTATTATCGCTCCGTTTAGCGATGCCGTGGTCGGGTGTTGGGAACGTTCATCCGACGGCGTTTACGTGCTCGCACTGCGATATGGCGCTGGCCACCCAACGGACGGCATACCTGTTTTGCGTGCACGCGCGCGTGTTTGGATGTGGTTTCCGTTGGCGCGGCGTCGCCGTCGCCGCGACCGCTAAACCGACGGGTGCCTCTAATAATATGAAATACCGTCGCCCGAACCGAAGAAATACCACAGGGCCGTCCGGCGAATAATCTTCGCGTACGGCGGTGTCCATGATCCACACCACCGGGGCGAGTGATGTTATTGCATTGTCGTAATAGTGTCACGGGTCCTGGCGACTTCGTGCGCGTTTTTTTTTTTAATATCACCGTCACACACCCTTATTTAGCTCTGCGATTGTTGTACGTGATTTATGTTCATTGTGTACGCTCAGAACACGGAAAACCATGACGTCATGAACAACCGATATAAATGGAAAATATACCGATACAATACACACCCAGCTACGAACGGCTGTTGTTAAATAACAGGTTTTAGATATATTTTAGTTAACAACTTTTCTACCGGAAATCTCCGGAAATTTTCTTATTAGGACGAGGAATTATTTAAATTTTAAATTCCGACTTTGAGATTATACCTAACACCAATTAATATAGGTCCAACATAATACGTTAATGCGTATTTTTTTGCGCGCTATAGATTTTGAATAAAACCAATGTGTGGTCATTTTTTGTCACTATGAAGAAGAATGTTTTGAAAAACGAGAACCTAGAAAAATATATCAGAAAGAAGACTGATATACTTCGCTCATGGGTGCAGCCACTGTTGTGGGTGGGAAATTGGGAAAATAAAATACAGACGGGAATTTAATGTATATCTGTAAGCGACGATAAACCATTGCTAATAAAAAAACGATTCTGAACGGAGTTCAGTAAATAGTGATGCTTAAGTATAGAATAAAGAAATATAATATGAAAATTAACACCTAGTTAAAGAATGTATTGAAATCGAAATTTATTTTATTTTATTATAGCTCAGTCTATAGTATTGTTTATTCAACAATGTGCGTTTCCATAATAACAATGATTGTTTAAGAAAGATTATTAAAATAATACAAATTGAATAATAACAATAAATAAATAAAAACGGTTGCCAATAACAACTTTATTTTTAATCTTTCAATTTTGTTTAACCTAAAGAACCAGGTTTTCCTAATCATCTCAAATATTAATTTCAAAAAATTACCTCTGTAAAACACCATCCATATAACTTTTAAGGAAATGAAGCTATACTTAATTATCGGAGTAAGCTTTTTGGTGAAAAAAGTGTTTTCATAAAAAAAAAAATAAATATCATTGTAAAACAAATAAATTCCTCGCTTCCCTCGGAATCTAAAAATCGTAATATTTTTCTAATATACTTCGTATACATTTTCCTGTTTTTCCTCAGTTTTTTTTTTTCGGTTTTTCACAATTTACGATCAGTACCTCTCTAGTCCGATTTCCTTTCAGAAAAAGTACTATCATTATAAATCGGAGTAGGATTTTTGGTAGAAAAATACACAGATAAAAAAAATTAAACATCTTTATAAAACCACAAGATTCTTTGCTTTACTCAGACTATAAAATTACACACCAAATGGAAAATCAGCATTTTTGACGATATACGTATTATGTATTATTATGCACTGTTACGTATTATCTAATCAAAAAAGTGACTGCAAAAATTAAAAATTAAAAACAAACAAACAAACAGATTTGTTAAATCGATACATCTCTCACTTCATGCCTAGAATCTGAAATTGAAAAACTTTTTCGAAACTAAAAAACAAGAACCGCATACATTCGCCGTAAATTGATTTTCATGTTCGACGCTTATCATCTAAAAAAAAATTAATAATAATAATATTAACCGAGATGGGCGGATTGTGACGAAAGTCCCGAAAAAATATTATCGACCGAAAAGCACAATATGCGATAAATCTACTGCAGGAAGTCTGTTAACTTTTCAACTAATTGACTTTCCAACTGTCCAACCTACTCATATATTGGAAATAAGGTTTTTTTTTTTTAATTCAATTTTTAATAAACGTCACAGAGAATGTAATATAATCTTAATCGTACAATTGTTTTTTTTTACAATACTAATGACCACTATAAATTGATGATTTAAACTGTTTAGATAAGGAAACGTATTAAATTATGTTACTCACAAAATTGAAAGTACCAATATATGTAATATATATATATACCGTTTATTCTCACCCTGATATTAATATAAATTTTTAATAAACGTTCCGAGAAAAATGAATCGATATTTTTTTTTTAACCAAGTCGTTTTATATGTTTGATTTATATATGTCACGCACATACTCGTAATAGAATATTATATAAACGATATAATATGCGATAATATTATCATTATACATAATACAATGTTTGTTATAACTTTATAACTGACATCTTCTGTAGAAATCGTGAACAATTATAATTGAAAACGGCATAGGTACCTAAGCGTAATGTAGGTTTGCAATTTAAAAATTACAAAACAAATAGTTGTCTACCAAAGCATCATGACATAAAAAAAAACTATTAATTTGGGTAACCTTTGTTTTGAGTGATTTTTCATTTGTATATACATGTTTTTATTACCGAATAATTTAAACCCGGATTAAGGAGGAACTATATGGAGACATGGCCGCTAAGGATATGAAGGTCTCGCTGTGTCATCGTTAATATACCAGGTGATTCATTTAAGTGGGTACACTCATTATCTCAGAAAGTATTAACTTTTTCCCGAATTTGTTTTCTAGAACATTTAGGAAGTAAGCTGCTCCACAATTTTTTGTTTGTGTTATGTTTTGTCATCCTTATTTTTGGGGGAAAAAGCACGGACGGCACCCGTTTCGTCCAAAATCAACCTTTCCCGTTTTGACCAGAGCCATTTTAGTCGTTTTAAAATTAAGTTAGCAACGATTTTTAAATAATATAATATGTATAATATACCATGTATGTGTTCTTAACTATTTTTAAAAATCGCATTACACAGTATAATATATTATTATTTTTTACTAAAATTATTTAATTTCATTACAAAATACATTTACAAAAATTTTTATTTTTTCAAATTTCTACACATACTTTTTACAAACCCATGCTTAGTAATTTCATCAGATCTATATACAAGTATACGTGCTTCGTTATATTCTTGTCTTTCCTTCGTTTTTTGTATCTTTTGTTTTTTTTTGGAATTTCAACGCTATTCATTTTAATATATGTTTGTGTCTGGATATCGTTGCGAATAATATTTAACCGACTTATGATTGATGTAGAGTTAGAATAAAAGTTTTTTATTAAAATACGAGTGAAACGATTCACACGCATTTGTTGTGAGCTGTGTGCTCGCTGAATTGCATGCTCATAATGTTAGACTAAAAACAACCTGTCCTTAGAAATATAGTTTTCCATTAAATAATCACAATAATTAACTAATTTTTCATTAGTTGGACATTCAGCCATTAAATCTTGAGTAAAACAATCGGATAATTCAGTGGGTTCTAAAAATTTAAGCCAAAGTATGTTGAATCCATTTACCAATACTCGTATTATTTTAGTATTCAGTTGCTAAACCATATTTTGGAATGTTCCTAGCTTGTGTTAGGTGAAAATGACAACCAATTATTTGCAATGAAGGCCAAATTTCATTGGCTGCTAAATGAATTGTTTTTCAAAGTCAATAGTAACAAATTTTTGTATAAAAACTAGGCCTAATTCTATGTATTTATTTACAACTGATTTAAAGGTTACACAAATCTTTCTAATTTTTAGTCCGGAAGTAAAATAAATATTAATGGTACATAATGATCGTTTTTAAAACCGTGTATACAAAACATTTGCTCAAAAAACTTGGCACAAAATTGGAACGTGCCGTTGTTTCCACAACATTACACAAAACTCTAAGGTTAGTTTTACAAAAAAAAATTATTATATTTTCTATTTCATCATTTACCAACACAAATAGTTCGTTTTTTGTAGTGAAAGTGGTTTCTGGTGTATTTAAAGCCATATGTGCTTCAGTTATGGTAGTCGAAATCAGAGGAAGAACTTTACGCCTATAAACAATTAATAATATATACATGATATATATTATATAGTTTAAAAATCATTGCCAACTTAATTTGAAAACGACTAAAATAATTTTGGTCGAAACGGGTATCTGGGTGAAACAGGCCGTGCCCGTTTAGTAGTGAAATATTCATACTCAATATATTCATGGACTTTTTAATATAATTTTCCATTTTAAAATCAAAAGTAGGTAGTGGTTTTACTCCCAAAAATAACACAAATATAAAATTGTAAAGCAGCTTTTTTCTTAATTGTTCTAGAAAACGAATTCCGGAAAAAGTTAATACTTTCCGAGATAATGAGTGTACCACTTAAATGAATCACCTGGTATATGAAAAAGAAAATTGAAAATAAAATGTTACGAAGAGGGTCTATTTTCAATAGCGCAGTTTCCTGTTTTGGGATCGTAAGCTCTTACTTTTTCGAAAAAAGAGGCCAAACAGTGTTTGCCACTCCTGACTGCTAAGTGGCTATGTTGAGTGATTTTGTTCAATGCAGACTAAAAGAATACATATCAGAAATTGATGCGAATGACTTGAATGAGATTTGGTCCCAATCCTGCCGACGCAACGACACACACCACACACAACTACACGACCAATGTAATTGGTGCGCGAGTACTTCACGGCCCATTTCATTTTCCTCGGAGAGGACATCAACTGGATCCCAAGGTCCTTCGATCTAGCTCTCAGCAATTTTTTCTGTAATAATAACTTATTATAACGTACTAAATGAAAATATTTTATTCGTAAAAATGTACA